GGCAGTTGTTGATGTTGAAGTGCTCTTTGGAAATGCAGAAGTGCCTGCTAAAGAGAATCCTGTAGAAGCCGGGGAGGCAAAGCTTGGATTTGAAGCTGAGCTTGATAACAGCAAGTCTGGAGTAGATGATGAAGCGGGAGCAGAACAGCCAAACAGACTAGTAGTTGTTGTTGCTGCTGATGAAAATACAGAGGGTGCTCCTGTAGCCCCAAACCAGGATGATGCAGAACTTGCAGCGGTAGAAGATGGACCCAATAAAGGGGATGCAGAACTAGCCGCAGATGAACCCATACTCGCTGCAGACGAAGACGCGCCAAACGATGGCTGACCGGAAGTCCCAGCTGATGAAGCTGCCCCGAACATAGGCGATGAATTTGTATTAGATGACGACGCTTCAAACGGTGATGAACCTGTACCCACTGCCGACGAAGCAGCACCAACCAGCAGCAACGCCGAACTTGATGTGGTAGTTGCCGAAATTGATGCGGTAGTTACCGCACCAAACAATGGGGTAGGTGAAGTAGATGCAGAAGGGTCAGCCATGGAGCTTGAGGAAGATAAAGATGAACGAAAGAGGGGCGAAGTAAAACTCGATGTAGACTGACCGGAGCTAACCCCAAAAGAAAAGGAAGAGGACGGAGTGGCTGAAGATGAGGAGGAGATGGATAGTCCTAAGCTAGGGCCGGAGGAGGGGATGACGAGGATTGAGTAGAGGAAGAAGAAGAGAATGGGAAACCCGACATTTTCTCCGATTGTCTTTCCCCACTCAAAAAAGACTGGAGAAGATGTTACGGTGGGAGGTTTTTGGGGTTCAGGCCAAGTTCAGGCAACCGAGAGGTTCATTTGGCGGGTTCGGGTCAGGCTAATTAAGCCTCGGGCTGTCGATTGACTAGCCTAGGCCCAGCCCGTTCGAAAGTAAAGGTGGCTAAAACTACAAGCGTCGAATTTTAATTTGTTTAGTCGGAAAGAAGAGAAAAGGAATACTTTAAAAGAAGTAAAGGGAATGAAAGAAGAGCAAAGGAATACTTTTTTTTTTTTTTTTGATGTAAAGAGAAAAGGAATACTTTAAAAGAAGTAAAGGGAATGAAAGACTATTTTAACATTGTTGGGAAATTAATGCGTAACTTTTA